TCCTAGTCACGTTTTATATAATATAACTGCAGAGAATGTAAACTAACTCGGCTGCTGGCGGATCTGTGTAAAACATGTCAAGTTATGAAACCTAATCACTGACGAATTTCTGCTGTAATCTATACATGTTGTAAAGTAAAAAAACGATAATTAGATATATGTTTCAGACAAAAAGGAAGACCAATAGAAGATATATCGTTGTTTCCAGTAGAAAGATATCCCAATCAAACAATACAAGATAGAGATTTATGTCAACAAGAAACATTACCTATACAATATCTAACACAATCATACCTAGTAGAACATTCACATGTAGGTGGACTTTTAAATACATCTTAAGTTATATGATGTTCGATTCAAGATCATTATGATCATTTTGTATTCCTCTAATGGGTGACAACACAACAGCAGTAAACATATGATGTTTTCTATTTGGTAATACAAATCCGTATAAGCAAGAACATTCCGTTAATCAATTGACGTTCAAATTATTACAAAATCTATATGGTATCAGTAAAAGGAAGTCTATTATACTTATGATCTGCTTCCAGGAAAAGAAATATTACAAATATTGTGTTTTTAATTTTTTAATTTATTTATGATTTATTTAAATGATATAGACTCATGTCAAAATAAGTGAATTAAGCTTAACATTTACCTGTTACAGATATATGTAAACTGGACTGGTATAGATGTAGAATCTGGTATTTATGATTATCAGTTTGGTTTATCATCAGAGAGAGATTCTATACCTGATTTATTACCATTTCACTCTACAAATCATCATACATGGTACCGTGGTTATCATTCACAACTTACTGATGGTACAGAATTCTTTATTCATATTAAAGCTACGAATAAAGCTGGACTAGAAACTATTCAGGTTAGTGCATTATTCGACTACATACCATACATATATTGTCTACCCTTGCTCAGAATATATTTTATAGCCTACGACCGTATGGTAATAATAATGTATTTAGCGGTGTAAATCCGATCTATTATGATAGAGTACTGCCTTATTTTTCAGACTCTAGGACCCATAATTGTTCATGCTTCTAAACCTAAATTTACTGGTAACATAGATGTGGTATTAAATAATAATCTGGTGGTAGCCAATTGGTCCAATGCTGTAGTTAAAGATCCTGGTCACAGTCAACTGAGATATACAGCAGCTATTGGTGAGTGAAGTAATATAGAAATTCTCAAATACATGGCTCTCCACATCCACATACATGGGTGTTCATTTAACCTGTTCTCTAATTGACAAATAACTAATTAATATCACGATACATTAAACTGAACAGGTACGTCAAAATGAATTGCCAAAACCCAAACTTAAGGTCAAAATATTATACCAATTATTATCAGTTAAAAATAGTAAAAATATCAAACGATTGATAATCTCTATACTTTATTTTCTGTTCTGACTTGAAATTGCGATGGTCTGACGTATAACTTATATTGTTTCACGGCGAAATATTGAGTTTATATTCAGATTTCATATGTGTTCATTAAATTAAATGTTTTTGATTTATTCGGCATGAAACTGGCGACTACTGAGATTTTTCAGTTGTTGGAACGTTCAAGGTTTCTTTTATATCTAACGATCAGATTCCTCTAGTTGCCACCAGTTAAGCAGTCGTAAAAACTCATCTTCATTTGTGAATTGTTTTTGTTTTTATTTCAAGTCGAAAAACTTTCCGAGTCGGTTGGCTTCGTGGGCACAACATGTTCAACGGTGTCCCAATGTCCATGAATAACACAACCTCAATCATGATTTACCTCTGCGATGCAACACAATAAAATTGACATTTCCTTTTATTTTTCCAATTAACTCAAAATTCTAATGTGTGTTTAATTCAAAATACTCGTAGGTTAAATTAATGAATATTTTTCAGGTACAACTCAAGGCGGTCAAGAAATCATCAAGTTTTCAAATTTAAACTTCAGTGAACCCTGTCTCGTAAGCTCCCCACCAACCTGTACTGTATTTGATATTCTAAAATTAGACTGGAGTTTACACCATGGATATAAATATTATATATCTATTAAAATAGAAAATACAGTTGGTCTTCATACAGTAATATCATCAGAACCTTTAACATATAAATCAATATTACCATCTAAAGGTGTTGTAATTGATGTTGGTTTACAGAGTGAAATAGACTACTTCAATATTTTGGTAAGAAACCCAAGCTGACCAACCACATTTACTTATACTTTCTACAAACTTCTGGATACAGAATTGAAGATGGTGACTCTCAACTTGTATATTATAATTATATGAACTTGAAGATGGTGACTCTCAACTTGTATAATATAATTATAGGAACTTGAAGATAGCGACTATCAACTATCTACTAGTATGTTCAGTGTACGATGGTATGGATTTGAATCTGAAGAAGAAATATCTACAGGTATTAATTATAAAGTAGGAATAAAGAGAGATAATGACAGTGAATTTATACAATCTGTTCATGTCAGTCGACAAACTGAATACACCTTCATTGGTCTACAGTTAGAACTCCATCAGGTGCGGTATTTAAATGAGTTTTTTTATATATTCAAATCAGTCTTTAATTTTTTATTGATTATGTGCTACAAATCCAGTATGGAACTAAGTTCTTATGATGTGATATGGAACAAAATGCTAGAGCTACCGAGAGAATGTTTTATGATAAGATTATCATTGACTAGCACCTGTTTGTTTTCTAGAAATATCTTGTATCAGTAACTGCTACAGTAGTTGGTGTTGGTAGTGTGACATCATCATCTGATGGAATAACAGTTGTTAAAATATCAGAAGATTTGAGTGATGAAGTGGAATTAAAAGATGGCACTGCTTGTTTTAAGCCAACCGGTAATTCTTTTCATATATTCCCTTTTGTTTCAATTTCTCTCATTGTGATTTTAACCGAACATAATATTGCGAGGATCCAGTTTACAATTCGTAGTTTAAATTTTTGAAATACATTTTGATGCAACATTACCTTAAATTCTGGAAATCACATCAGAAATCAGAGAAAGTGATATAATATTCTTTAATGTTTCAGATCTGGATACGAACCATTACCATAATTCTACTGTAAGTAAAGGTTAAATATAACTATTATTCGTTGCTGTTAAGTGTTGCTCTACGTGAAGTAAAATATAAGAGGTTCCTGTCCAATTGATCATGGTCCTACAGTGCTATACCAATTGAAAATCTAAAGCCTTCTCGAGAACAAAATCATACAACATTATTTGAATATAAACTACTAGTAGCCAGTTCATAATTCTGTGTATTTTAGATCATCTATTGTGGAGAACCTGGATATCAACCATCTAGTTCTAGTTACAATGTAAAGTGGAATATTTCTAATAAATATTATAATACATACCCTCATATTAAATGGTCTTTACAAAAACAACACCAAAATACAGGTAAGATCAATATACTCTAACCAATACTGGAACGCCAGTGTCTATTGATAAATTTTCACAAGGATATGAATAGCGCCCCCGGATTTCACCTTTTCATTGACATGTTGGCGAACCGGAAATCTCAATTTGTTATTCATACAAATTCATAATAAATGAATTATTGAGGTGTTTAGCAAATTGTCAGGTGAAAGTATCTATTGAATTTGATAACAAATAAATATTGTTGAGGTGTTTTGTATATTTTTCCAGATATATGGCTAAATGAATACAAAAAGACATTGTACACAAGAGATAAAATGCTGACACTACCATACCGTTTAGCAGTTTGTGAATCCTATAGAAGTGAATTACAATTTTGTATTGATAAAGTTTGTTCTCAACCTGTTTATTCGGAAGGTGTGACGATTCTAGGAAAACCTGACAAACCAAAAATGGAAGTTTCGTTCACGACAGATCAGAAGGTATTGATATAGTTATAGTATTACTTATTATAAATACCTGAAATATATCGTTGCTCTTTCTATAGCTATAGATTTAACGATTTAAATAAATAAAACCAGTGGTCCCCAACCTTTCTTAGCCTTCACACCCTGGAGCAATCATTTAGACCTTTCACACCCCCATAAATTTATATCATCCACATTTTCAGCATGTGATGATGTGAGGTCCTCTCTCAATTCAAAATGAATTCTTCTCCAACACCAGTTGGCCACACCCCTGACACCCTAGTGTCACCGTGGAATTAAACGATACTCTGGTAAACATGTTGATTTGTAGTTTTCAAATGTTCAATATGTTGACAAATCATTACTTATTTTTCCTTTTTGTATAGCTGGATGTTGGTTTAGAGTTTACAAAAACAAGTGAATCTTGTAATAATGTAATTAAAAGATTAGAGTGGAGTATAACAGATGATCACAATGGACGGCTGTATACATTATGGAAAAATGTTGAGGAGATTGTTATTAACAATAACAAGGTATAATATTGTCATAATGTCTTGCTAGCGGTCGTGGCACCAGCCTCTCAACACTAGGGGTACAAAATAGTGGTTAGAATGACTCAATTGGGGGACGACTTAGAGGGGTCTTACAAGATAATTGTCCAAAAGTTGAATAGATTTGGTGCATTCTGACATATATTTTGGGACAAATGTGTATAAAAACCATATTTTTTTCATTCATTACCCCCACTAGTTCTTATAGACTAAAACTGACCTTCAAGTTCCTATAATTATATTATGCCACTAGTACATAGTTGTGATCACTATCTTCAAGGTATAATGTACTATAATTATAATGTGCCATTTTTTGTCATTGGCTTTTCATAACCTCCTGTGTGTGTTCTTATTGTTCTGGTCAAATGCACAAAACTAATACAAAACATGAATAANAATGTATTTCTAGATTCAGTTAAAGATAGATTTAGATGGTCAAATAGACTCTAATAAATGTAGAAGATTGGCTCTACGACTATATAACAAGGCAGGATTATCAACCTTGATCTCCAAACAGATTCAAAACTGCTCAGCTGTAGATCCAATATTGATACGACAAGCTATAGTTCTAGATGCTGTTAGACAAGGTAAAATCATTTACATCGTTGTCATCATCATCATTGCCACCGTCTTTTGCTTATATATATCACGATGATGAAGACAAACAGCTTCATGATAAATGTGCCAACAACCTGCATCAAACCTACTGGTACATTATTGGCAGTAAATGATATCAATGTTATACCAATGGCATAATTATAATAAAAGTAACTTCTTCTTCCAGTGAACAGAAATGAAATTAAACTTGAACAGAATGCCAGGTGGAACGAACCGGATGTGGACTATACTCCCTATAATGATATAATATCTGCTGTATGGCCGACATTGAGACATAGAAACTATACTTGGGGATTATTAGAGGGTCCATTACAACCCACGTCAACGTTATACAGTAATCCTGATATCATTATACCAGATCCTTGTTCTCATCCTTCTATTGTCATCTGTGGACTATCAGGTTAATACATCTCTTAGTAGTATCATTAATAACCTTTTTAAATTTTGACCGAATAAAACTTCCTGCCATGATTTCAACTTACCGTTGTGCGGAAACTTTCAAATAAACTTTATTTGCAATCTAGTATTTTGGAGATAGTTCTCATATAAAGAGTACCTTTTAAATTTGGAAAACTTGGTCCAAAGTACAATTTGACTATCAACCATTGTTCTAGATAAAGAATATGTAAATATCAAACCACCACATGTATTAAAACATGGTAGACGATATCATGTTTGTCTTCATGCTGATTCTACAACACTACAACATGAGAAATGGGATGAAGATCTAGAAGAAATTAATAGTTGTAGTGATGGAATAACAGTTGATTTATCTCCCCCTAATGGAGGCCGAGTCTGGATACAAACAGATACTAATGCTAACTATCAGGTATTACTCAGTGAATCCAAGTATAAATTCGCTATAATTATTCAGTGGTTTTCGTATCTGTTATTCTTGTTACTATACATTCAATTGTACACATTGTAACATTGTACCTTGCATCAACCAATCGTATTAGAAGATTAATTGCCTATAGCCAAAGTCATATTTATGTTTTCGTTCATCAAACAAAAGAAATGTGAAAAAAATGTTTTGCTAATATATTACTAAAATATAAATAGTATTTTTGAGATTATCAATTTAATTATTTAATAAACTGCCAAAACCCAAATTTAAGATCCAAAATTAATATTTATTATTATCAGTTAAAAAGGATAAAAATACCAAACAATTGCTAATTTCAATAATCTAAATTGTGCGTATGATTTACATTTTTTCTGAAATCATTACAAATTTTGACTTTAATCGACCTTTTTGTTAAACGCATTTTTATGAAATGGTATTGAACTTCAAATTTCATTTTATTTCATATAGGTTTCTATTAATACTTTGACTGTATTTTGGGATTCGTTTATTGATGTCGAAGAAGAAGGAGGAGCTGTACATCCTAGTGGAATATCACATTATACTATACAAATAGGTAGGCAGCACTAAAACCCACTGAAGAACAACTAACATCTAGCATTTTCGTGAGTTGTGGTGTGGTTGATGTGGTGCTGTGTGTGTCTCAATTTTAAATTCGATTCCATTACAAAACTATGAGATTTATCTAAACGCACAGCCTTTGTCAATTATTCTTTAGCTTAAAATACGTGTATCAGTGTTGACGTATCTTTGTAATTTATTCTGTTGTAGGCTCTTCAGGTTCTAGGTCTGATCTATTATCACCTGTTACTGTTGGTCTTATAAATCACCAGGTTTTCCATAACTTAACCCTACAAAATGGTCACCAATACTTCGCTACAGTCACAGGTTTGAACCTAGAAATTGCCATTAGGCTTTAGAAACCACTGGAAAAGTCAGCGTGTCACAGTTTTATAGATGAACGAAAAAGCATGGAAAGTTTAAAAAAATAATTCCTAATAAATTAACAACTTTATCTATTTTTAATTGAACAAAAAGTTTACTTTCATTCATTATTATTATTTCTTGTGCTATTCAAACCATGCAATCTGATGTTACTGTTCATCGTTATATACATATGCTGTTGTATTTTAGCTGTTGATTTTGTGAATAGAAATAAAACAGTAGTCAGTGATGGAATAATTATTGATCATACAGCTCCAGAAATAGTTCTAAACAGAATACAGACACCTTCACCATATCTCACATCTTTAGATACAATATCAGCCTGGTAAATTATTAATATTGGTTATTATAAAATTTATTGTAAGAATTATTTATAGTTGAAAGTGATGGGAAACTATGCACCATTGTCAAATTAACAACATTGTCTGTTGATATTTTAAAATCCTTCTTTGTTTTCAATGAAGTCAATAGAAAGAACAATGCATTATAAAATTATTGTATGATTTATTTATAGTTGGAAGGGAAGTTTTAGAGATAGTGAAAGTGGTATTAAATTCTATAAATGGTCAGTAGGTAGTAGACAAGGACAAACAGACACATTAAAAAACAGAGAAACAGTTGAAGATTGTGATGAAGCTACGCTAGATGTTAAGTTACAGGATGGTTTTACTTATTATATCAATCTTCAGGTATAAATTTTACTTTTTTTCTAATCTGGAGGGAACCTTTAATTCAATAATCACGAAAATCTAACTTAATTCTTCATGTGCGAACGGTTTGGTTAAAAGATTACTTATTCTGCAATTTTAATTCATATTTCGTACAAATAATTAATTAAAAAACACCGATTTATTTCCAGGCAATAAATGGAGTTGGGATGTCGACAATATTGATATCACGACCACTAATAGTGGATACAACACCACCAATAACAGGATTAGTATTTGATGGTATTGCTGGTGATAACAACACGAAGGAAATTGATTATATCTCTAATACTCTAATACCACCTTCTGTTAGATGGGATAGATTCCATGATCCCCATTCGTCTATTAAACATTATTATGTTCAAATAGGAACTTGTCCTGGATGTGATGATGTTTTACTACAAACAGAAACTCGAACCTCTCATAGTAAGTATCATGATGGTTGTTTTCGATCTTAGAAACTCAAACTTCACACAATGTCGTAGATTAGTCCAAATAATACATTGAGGAACCTTAAATGTTTATCATTAATATAATTTGTACATTTTAGATTTTACTTTCACTAACATCAGATTTATACCCGGTATGAAATATTTCACCATGGTAACAGGATGTAATATGGCAGAACTTTGTTCTTCAATATCTTCTGATGGTTTTATTATTGACGTAACACCTCCAATTCGAGGTCACGTGATAGATGGAACTAGAGATGCTGATATTGACTTTCAGACTTCAAGGTTGGTTAACCAATTATTAGTGTTGAGTTTATTACAAAGTAATGCAATAACTTTTATAGCTTCAAAGTCCACGTCCAAAGACATTAGTGAATTAAACACATGTTAAATAAGCATTAAACCTGAATAAGGCCCCAGAGCACATTAACCATCGGGGGATCTCTTTCAGAAATTTCGACATTTTATTATTATTATTTGTATTTATTGATAATATTTAATTTGTATATTTCTAAGAATATTTATTTAAGTTTTAATTTGTTTTTAGAAATTGAATTGACAAATCCTTATGTTATTTCTTTTTCAAGAACATACATTGGTGGTAAATGGTATGGGTTTAAAGATATTGAAAGTTCTATAGAGAAATATGAATGGAGAGTTGGTACTAGTAAAGGTGGTAGTGAAATATTGAAAACAGAAACTTTACCTGTTATGGAAATAATCTACCGATCTAATCTTCCTCTACTACAACATTTACCTGTTGGTATACCTATCTATATTACTGTCACAGCTTATAATGAAGCAGGTACTTTAACCAACTCTTTTTTACCCCTCAAAAACAATTTTATCTCATGGCTGAAATTTACATATAGATTGACTCCAATCTGAACTGTAATCAATGTGTTATATATTATCAGGTTTAAGCAGTGAATCGACATCTGATGGATTTATGATAGATACAACACCGCCAACTGTCACCAAACATTTAACTTTATCATCAACATTCGCTTCCATTTTACCACCAACAATAATATGTAGAACAGGATTTAAAGTAGAATGGGAATTTACTGATGTAGAATCAGATATTGAACATCAGTACATTTCACTTTCACCACATTTACTTGGTGATTTCAATTCTTCAACAACAAAGGTATTGTAACGTCTCTATAAGAGTATTTGCTTACCACAAAGTGTTCTACAACATTAGATATCTATTTTAGATACAATTTGTTTTAAAAGAGTATGTATTTATTATAGATACCAAGTGGTCTAAAAGAGTATGTATTTATTATAGATACCAAGTGTTCTAAAAGAGTATGTATTAATTATAGATACCAAGTGTTCTAAAAGAGTATGTATTTATTATAGATACCAAGTGTTCTAAAAGAGTATGTATTTATTATAGATACCAAGTGTTCTAAAAGAGTATGTATTTATTATAGATACCAAGTGTTCTAAAAGAGTATGTATTTATTATAGATACCAAGTGTTCTAAAAGAGTATGTATTTATTATAGATACCAAGTGGTCTAAAAGAGTGTGTATTTATCATAGACACCAAGTGGTCTAAAAGAGTATGTATTTATTATAGATACCGAGTGTTCTAAAAGAGTATGTATTTATTATAGATACCAAGTGGTCTAAAAGATTATTAAAGATACCAAGTGTTCTAAAAGAGTATGTATTTATTATAGATACCAAGTGGTCTAAAAGAGTATGTATTTATTATAGATAATAAGTGGTCTAAAAGAGTATGTATTTATTATAGATACCAAGTGTTCTTAAAGAGTATGTATTTATTATAGATACCAAGTGTTCTAAAAGAATATGTATTTATTATAGATACCAAGTGGTCTAAAAGAGTATATATTTATTATAGATACCAAGTGTTCTAAAAGTGTATGTATTTATTATAGATACCAAGTGTTCTAAAAGAGTATGTATTTAGTGGTTTATCTCTACATGATGGTAGTAAATACAATGTGAAGGTTATTGGTTGTAATTTAGCGGGATTATGTACATCTTCTGTATCGGATGATATTTTAGTTGATACAACACCTCCGACTAGAGGTAAGTCAAACAATATTCACATTTTAAAGGAATGCGAGTATTAAGAGAATATAAAATATGAAACAAATCTTCCATGAATGTAATGGGTATAGAGAATCTCACAGTAGAAAACGTTTTTCATTGAATTTCAGGAACCTTCGCAATAGAATCGAACCATGCTGCCAATATAATCAGACATCCCGGTAGATGGATCGAATGGAACACAACATCATTGACTATAGCTTGGCTGGGATTTTCAGATATTCATAGTGGTATACAGTATTATCTTGTATCTGTTGGTACCAAACCATTTTATACTGATTTAAATCAGGTGCGTGAGTCTATATTTGTGGCTCTATCTCTTAATGTTTTCATCCAACATATCAATGTCTATTCATAATCATAATGTACTCTTTATACCCTTTTTAACAATATGCGTCATAATAATAAAATATTTCAAATTGACACTGATATCATCAATTTGCACTATATTTTTAATCAGACGTAGTTCCTGCTATCCGATGCCACTTACCGCGAAGGGTCTTTAAACATGTTAATGATGTAATGAAACACTTAGTTTTATTGAAAAGCAGGAACCACAGACGTCTGCCTTCAATTTGTAATGGTGCACATTGATGATATCTCTTTACAATATCTTTAATATTTGATGTTGTATATGATAGGATGGTAAAGCTGTGAAATATTTCCATGAAGATGGAAGATTATTTGAAAATGAAGGAGAAGTACAGATTAAAACAGTTGAAACAGCAGGAAATCTTGTCCACGGAATGTCTGTTTTTATATCTATTGTAGCTGTTAATGGGGTAAGTATTTTTTTTATATCTTTTTATACTCTGTTTGCTGTTGAAGTGTTTTATTTTATCTGTTACATTAGATATTTTTACAAGTAGTATTGTTATGTATTTTCTCTAACATTACAGGTAGGATTAAAGAGTCAACCAATTCACAATGAGTTTCAATTGATACATACTGACCTCAGAACAAACAGTAGTGGTTCATTGGTGAGAAGATGTCGACGATATAACTGTGAAGGTCATTGTGTTTGTAGTGAAGAAGATAAAATATGCCCTAAACCAGATGGTAATAACTGTAAAACAAATGGTAAGCAATTTTTTTTTATAATTTTTATATTTGAAAAATTCATTTCTCGAGCTGACTACCTTGTCAAATTGTATTGTATGGCTCCGCTGAAATATATATATTATGTTATATATAACATCCATGGTATGAGTATAACATAAAATAACCAAGATTGGAAGAATTAAAGTATCTAGTCTACCGAGACCATCAGAGAGTCTGCCAATAGAATTGCCTTACGAACCTATAGTGTTATTTTTGACCTACGCCTTTTCAAATATATATTGTCACACTAACTCACATATCCTTATAGCTACATTTGTAAACAGCGACATGAAGAAACTAATTCAAGTTATCGATGTAACTAACCTACAATCAACCGATACAGTTCAGAATAATTATACACCAACTAATATGTTTCTATCTGCTAAATGGAGACATACAACCAACACAACATCCCAACCTATCAGGTATAATGTTTATATTTTAGGTGATGCTTATATCCGATATACTTTTGATGATATTTTGAATATAAAACTCCTTTATTTTTTATAACTTCAAGTAATATCACTTCTCTCCTTCTGTGGCTTTTCCAAACTATATCTCATTGAAAGCGAATATACTAGGACATGGCTAAACTTTTAGACTATTTAAAGCATTTGCGTTTTTAAGGTTCGAAGTTAGTATTGGCTTATCTGAAGAAGACCAGCCCAAAGGGGTGTTTGATTCAGTTAGAGATCGACTTTGGTTTGATGTTGGTCAAGATATGAGTACCATTATTACACTACCTAGAGGTTTGTAGGAACAAAATGCTGAATGATACTTAATACTTAAAAACATGATTTGATAATAGTATAGTCCCTACATAATGTACTAGAAATGAAATGAATGAAGTTTTACGTCCTCCTTTTCTGCACCATATGGGCTAATGAAGGCGGGCAACGCCATGCAGGGTGCATGAGGGAAATTTTGCCAGGACGGCGACATTAGCCTGCTGTTTTTCGATTTCCAACTGTCGAGGGGTCTTTAACGTGCACAGCCTGTAGCATACGGACCTCAGTTTATTGTCCAATCCGAACGACTAGACGATTTTTCCATGTCAGTCCCTCTTACCTGCATCACTGACAGGGGGGAAACCGGGTTGAAAAATCCGAAGGTATTATCTTGACCTATGCCGGGATTGAACCCTGGACCTTCAGGTTAGCGAGCAAGCGTCTTTTTTTTTTCTTGTAGAAAAATTTATTTACATCAACATATCATACACAATATTTTAATACCTTTACAAAAATACATCTACGGGTTTTTTGTACAAAGATAAAAAAAATTTAATTAAAAATTTATATATTTACAATTTTGTTATATAAAAACAATTAACCCGTTTTATTTGTTCTTAAAGTTATTTACATAAATATATCGGTAGATTAATTTTCAGCTGATCATATTAATATAAATATACAGAATAGTTCGGATAGCGGTAGTGGAGTACAGTTAAGAATGTGTTGTAAAAACAAAACAATGTACACATCGTGGTAGGGCGTTAAAATAACGTGGATGTAACGGTTGATGATCGACTGAAGAGCAGACGATGAATAAATTGTCTAATAGAGGCTCCTATATGTCTTTGCGGGAAAAATATAGATTAATATGAAACATCTGAAAATATCTTTGATTAAGAGTCTTTTTAACGAAAGGGTGGAAAAAATAAAAAGGCTCTTTCAAAGATATTTTTTAAAAAATGGCAAATATGGATTTTGTTCTAAAACTTGGTTAGAACAATATACAAATGTCTAAATACATACATTTATAATACAAATATAATTAATCCTAATCCACCATGATATTTTTTTTATTAATTACTGAACTGTATTGAATCAAAGGTGGTTTACCATTCCAGAGAAAATTTGTTACTAGTTTTGTTATATTTCTTTCCATATCTTCTGGTATTGAAGTAACTGCCAAATTATACCAAAGTTTTGACATGATGAGTGCATTTATCACTGTTACTTTACCATTTAGTGTAAGTTGGCGTTTACTCCAATATCCTACTAATCTCTTAATGTTTGATAACTTTTTATTCCAATTTAATTCATTGCATATGTTTATATCATTACCTAAATATACACCCAGAATTTCAATTGAATATTCTACTTGCTTAATGGGAATGGACAGATCTAATTTTTTGCTTTTTGCACTACCTATGGCTAATATTTCTGATTTCTCCGCATTAATTTTTGCTCCTGAAGCTGTAAGATAAGGTGTAATAACATCTAAAATAGAATTTACAGATTTGATGTCACTCAGAATTAGATTTGTATCATCTGCATACTGAAAAATAATTGTAGATATGTTACTATATTTTATGTTGATACTCCTAAGAGGAGATAATTTTACAAAAAATATTCATCGGTTCTGCACTTAAAATATACAATAAACTGCTTAGGGGGTCACCCTGCCTTATTCCAGTGAAAAGTCTAAAAAAGGGCGATAAGTGGCCATTTACCTTTACTGTGCTACATATATTATCATTATACATCATTTTAATAAAATCCATGAAAAACTCTCCAAATCCAAAATACTGTAAAATGGAAAATAAATAATTTCTTGATGAAACATCAAAAGCCCGTTGGGCATCTAATTTTAATATATATGCTTCTATATTCTCTGCCTCAGCAAAGCTGATGATGTCCCGGATACTGGCTATATTGTCTGTGATATTCCTTCCTGGAACACCACTACTTTCTTTAATCTACAACTTAATACTTTGGCTATTAATTGATAATCTGTATTTAAGAGTGTGATAGGCCGGTAATTTATTGGAATTCTCCTATCACCCTTGTTCTTATAAATAAGTGTAATCATACCCTGTCTCATTGTACGACTTAGTGAGCCTTTATGTTGAATACTTTCCAATACTTTTATGCAAACAGATCCCAGCTGATCCCAAATTTTTATATAGAACAA